CTAATAAACTACTCTTGAATTTATCATTTTCATTTTTAGCCCTCCTTTTTGATATGGTTACTTCCCTGTTTTTCTTGTATCTATTTTGTTGACCATTTTCTATTTTGGGGCTGAGTACTGATTTATTTTTTCTCATTTAATAATGAAAAGTTTAAGGCTATGGGTTTTCCCGAGCACATCTTTGGATTCATTATATGCATTATTTTAGATTTTAACAATATTTTTTCTTTTTACACTGTGGTTTTGTACTCCTTTTTGACCCAAGAATTATTTAGAAAATACTTCTTAAATTTCCAAGTGTTTGAGTATTCATTTTAATTTCTTGGTTTATTTCAAATTTTATTGTACTATAATAAAATTGATCTCTACTATGTCTATATGTTAGAATTTGTTGACATTTCCTTTCCTAACTAATATATAGATAATTTATGTAAATGTCTCACGAGCCTTTGAAAAGAAGATATATTCTCTTTTGAAATGGTATAAAGTTAAATACATATTTATATTACTCAGAACCTGGTGTTTTTTATACTTTTACTTTTTTTTCCCTTGATCAGTGAAAAACTGAAGTGTTTTAAAGTTCTTCTTTTGGTGTGTATCTGTGTTTCTCATTTTTTATGTTCTTATTTTTTTATTTTATATCCCCCAATTAGATTTTCTTCCATTCTCCTCTTTACCTAGTTACTCAAACCAAAAATTAAAAGTTTTCTCATCCAATTCAACAGTACGTCTTACTAAGTCTACCTCCATACAAATTTCAAATCCATCCACTTCCCACTGTCTCTAACACTATTTTAGTCCAAGCCAGTTATCTCCTGCATGGTTTACTGAAATCAGCCCTCAGGTAACCTGATTCCATTCTTGAATCTCACATGGAAGTCAGAATGAAATTCCTTGTTCCTCTGCTTAAAACCTCCCACCAGCTTTCCATCCAAATTCCACTTAAAGTCAATCCACATTTTGACTCTGCTCACAAAGTATATAGGTTTGGCCTGACACTTTCTCTCCGTGACCCGTCCCAGCACCCTCCAGCTGCAATGGCCTTCTGTCTCTTCCTCAGACAAGACAAGTTCATTCACATATTGGAGTGTGTGTACTAACTATTCCACTTTCCAGAATGTTCCTTGTCCTGTTTTGTGCATGGCACTTTCCTTCTTGCTATTCAGATCTTAGCTGAAATTAGCAATATCTCAGAAATCTCTGAGCTGATAGATACTTGATATTGTATTACCTATTTTACTTCTCTCTACAACACTCAATATTGATCATTTTATCTGGGGGGTGTTTATTTATTAATATCTTTCTGCATTCCATTAGAAGCTTTTTGAGAGCAGGAACATTGGCTCTCTTTTTAAATTGCCCAGCAACAGAAAAGTGTTGGCACGTGGTAGATAGTCAAAATTTGTGGAATGGATGAAAGAATTAATTCCTTTTTTAAAAAGATTCTATTTATTTATTTGAGAGAGAGAGAGAGAGAGAAAGTGGCAGAGGGAAAGGGAGAAGCAGGGAGCCTGATGCGGGGCTCAATCCCAGGACCCTGGGATCATGACCTGAGCCGAAAGCAGAAGCTTAACTGGCTGAGCCACCCAGGTGCCCTGAAAGAATTAATTCTGTGCAAAAAACATAAGACAAATATATTTTCATATAGATTATAATGATAATAAAAATAACTCTGTCCATTTTAATGCCTTTTGTCTTGAATTCAAGTTTGTCTGAATTTAGCATGAGGACATCCTCTTCTGTACATAATGGAATAACATGGATGAGGACTGATCTCCCACATTGTTCAAATAGAAAACCATACAAAACTATGTGAAGCAATAGTTTCCAGACACTGAACAACAAACAACACAGGATAGTGATTTGTAAGAGAAGGAAAACAAGTGAATTTAGACCTATGAGCGCTCCAGCTTATAGCAAGTTTCTGGACAGTACCAGAAAGAAGACAAACCCAGAGCCCAGCAGTCTTGCTGAGTTGAGAAAACAGAGTTTGCAGTTTATGAAATCCAGGATGAAGAGGATTTTCACAACATATATTCAGGAAGGAGAAAGATGCACAGAAAGAGTCTGGGAGATTTGCCGAAGGGTCCCCTCAAGTGTTTGGCTCTGTGTTGATATGCACCTGGGCATAAGAAAACAGCCCAAGACTTAGGAAAGAACCACTGGAAAGGAACAAGCAGAACAATCCCCAGAGCTCAAACAGGGCCAAATATAGTCTGTGCTCCCACCAGCCAAGTGGAAAGGCCTCCTAATACACAGAGCATTTGTCAGTCCTCATGAAAGCATTGCCTCAGTGGTGGGGCCAAATTAGTCCTAGACTAAAGGCTGTCCAGGACCTGCTCTGACAACCTTAAAAGCAGGATATGAAAGGATCCATGGTTTCCAAGTAACTTACTGAGTCCCAGAAAAAAAGTTCCCACCCCCCAAAAAAGAGAGAGATTCAGCACAGGAGACAAAAAGGAAACAATATCCAGTATCCAGTCAAAACTTAAAATGAATGCAAAGAGGCAAGAAAACATGCTCCATAATTAGGAGGGGGAAAGTCAATAGAACAGATCCTAACATAACATAGATAATAAAATTAAATAAAAGCATTAAAACATATTTTTTTTAATTTCCCATGTGTTCAGGAAGGTAGAGGAAAACATGAACACGATGACAAGAATGAAGGATGTAAAAAAAATCCAAATAAAAATTCTAGAGATGAAAAATGATACTGTAATTCTAGATTAGATGCTACTGTGGAGGAAAGATGGGGGAATCTGCAGACAAGGTGATAGAAACTACCAGAATGAAATGGAGGGAAAAAAAGACAACAAAAGTTAGAACTTCAGTTAACTGTGTATATAGCCTAACACATGCATAGTTTTAGTCCTGGGGAAAAAAGGGGGGGGAACAGAATAAAATATTTGATGAAATAATGGCCAAAATAGTTCCAAATTTGATGAAAACCACAAACCCAAGATTCAAGAAGCTCAGTGGACCCCAGGAAGAAGAACCATGAAGAAAACTAGGTCAAGGCACACCATAAGCAAGTTGTTGAATTTAGCATTCTTCCTACTAGTTTCTTGTTTAATTTTCTTTGGACAATTTTTTTATTTTCAAACTTTCTAAAACACTTATTTTCAGTATCTTCTTTGTGGATTGCATGTCATTTTTATTCTTTGAATAAGAATCATTATCTCTTTAAAGACTATTTCATTTGTAATTATTACTAAACAGTCCTATTTGGTTTTCCATCATCTTACTTCTGTTTCTTTTGTTTTCTGTAGTTTGATATGGAATCTGTTTTGTTTTTCTATACCCCCGTGACTGTGTCATTGACATCCTCAACTACTACCCCAAATCCACACACATTACCCTAGTCATCTGCAAGATACAGACTCTAACATTTTCCATTAGCGGTTGCCTTTACAAACTTAAGTACATCTCTCCATTTATAAACTTGAGAGTAATGATACATTTATTGGTTTTTACCATGAAAGATAAAGAAATTAAAGCAATTTTATTACCTTGCACTCACCAGTAATCATTTGCGTGGTCCCTTAGCTTGCCCATTTGTGAATTCCTTATTTTAATGCATTTTGTGTGTGTGTGGCTAGAATACACCTTCAAATGAATTTTTTTAGACCAGAAACATATGGGCTTTTTGAATTATTATTTGAGTCTATTTTCCTAAGCTTTGACATATGAAAAACTTGATTAAATATTTAATTCTTGGTTCACAATTTTATATTCAATACTTGTTAATAACAATGTTCTGTTGCTTTCTTTTATCTAAAATTGCTAACGAGAAGTTTGATGTAAACTTATTTGTTTACCTGCATAATGAATAATCTTTTTAAATAACGAAGATCAGTAATTTACCAGGATAACCTCTCCCTCTTTTTCTATCTCCCTTTTTGTCATTGCCGCTGTCTGTTCTCTTTCTCTCTCTCTCTTTCATGGGCAATGGGACTTTCTGAATTATAGGATCGTGCCATTTCATTCAAGTATTTTTATTCTACTATTTCTTTAAATACTTTTTTCTGTTCTGTTTTTCAGAAAATCAACTATCTATACATTGAATTCTAGTATCTTTAAAAAAAATTTCAAATATTTATTTATTTATTTTAGAGAGAGACAGAGTGAGCAGGGGGAGGGACAGAGGGAGAGGGAGAGAAGCAGACTCTCCACTGAGCGGGGAGCCTGACAAGAGGCTAGATCTCTTGGGTCTGAGATCATGACCCAAGCAGATGTCAAGAGTCAGACACTTAACTGACTGAGCCACGCAGATGCTCCAATTCTAGTATCTCTTTTCCAATTCTCATTAAAAAAATTTTTCCTTGGAAGTTTTAAGATTAAGTTCTCAGGTTTGTTACTGATTCTGTGTTTTAGATTGCTAGTATGCATTCTGGTTTAAAATTTATTCTCATATTTTGTAACAACATTGATTTTCTGCATTCTTAGTACTGTTATTTTTGTTAATATATCAATTAATCACTTTATATCAAAATTTTTTATAGTTTGTATCAAAAAATTCCACATTTTCTTTAATTTTCTTTCTTTTTTTTTAAGAGAGATGGGGGAGGGGCAGCAGGAGAAGCAGAGAGAATCGTCAGCAGGCTCCATGCCCAGTGTGGAGCCCAAAATGGGGCTCGATCCCATGACCCTGAGATCATGACTGAAGCTGAAATCAAGAGTCAGACGCTTAACTGACTGAGCCACCCAGGCACCCTTTTAATTTTCTTGATAATACAAAACTGTTACTGTCTAAAAATGTCTCTCATCTTAGGGAATACTATATTGATTTTAGGCGCTTTTTTTTTTTTTTTTTTTTTTTGCTCTAACAGATTTCCTGTCATACTTTCAGTCTCTCTGCCGTCAGCAGTAACAGTACCAGTTACCACTATACGTATTGCTATACTACTCTGCTTACCACTGCCATGACCATTGCCAAGACTACTTCTTCCAACACCACCACCTGAAGTTCATCTTTTCTCATTATTGCTCTTTTCTAGGCCCTGTAGCCCTCAAAATACTATCAGGATATTAAATCCAATTCAGAAGATTGAAGAAATGTTCATGTAAGTAGACCTGACAGAGATCAACAACAGTGGGGAAATCTTACCACTCCATAGGCCTGAAGAGGTAAGAGGAGAAAATAGTGTTACTAGAGAACCACATGGGGGGAGCAAAGGGAGAATATGCAGCAGAGTCATGTGCCCAACACCTTAAATATATTACGTCTTTTAATCCCCACAGTGATATAGGTGTTCCTCTTACCTGAATTTTATCTATAAGGATACAAAGCATTATATAACTTGTTCAGAGACACAAAGCTAAAACGTTGCCAATCCCAGACTCTTAACCCTCTCTGACTTCAATGCCCAGACTCCTACCTTCTGCAATAATAATTTTTTCCTCAAATCCTAATTGAGCCCCTTCTATAGCAGGTACTGCTAGAGGTATTGACCAAGAATAATGAACAAAACCAACATGATTCTTTCTCTCATACAATTTCCTTACCTTTGACTAGGGGAAGATCTACACATTCTGCTCTCTTCCCTCAAATAGTGTGGGAGACATCTCCTTGACTCCCTTCAGACCTTCCTCTTCATGAACAACATGGAAGTCTGAGTGTCATTGGCCTATGTTCATTCATTTTCCTGAGGACTAAAGGAAGGGAGGTAGGGACTTGGGCAGAAGAGATTTCTCCTGCTGGACTCAGACAGAAGCTGCTGTTTCTTTCGAAATTGTTGGAACTCAGGCTCCACATCCAGTTAGCCTGGTGGAGGGCCCAAATGGTACCACAACAGCACATACAGTGTTGCTGGGAAATGGTTTGTTCTGCTTCAGTGTGTTCAGTCAACCAGTGTGATGAAAAGTCAACCAGACTGACACTCTATGCTTCTGATTTCAGGTACTGGAGTATTTGGTCCTTTGTTGTCTGAAGTTTGTTTCACAACAGACCTGCTTCTAAATCTTAGTCCACCCAAGTAAGAAGCTGCTTAGCTTATGGATTTTTCTTCAATTCTGGCTGAGCTGCAATTGAAGAATTGGCTCAAGACAAAATAATTCTGTTCATTTCCACAGTTTCTTCTCCTCTCTAGCTGGCGGATATTATTGGGGGCTTTCATATTTGTTTGTGGGCTTATTTCTGTAACACCTTAATTTCTGCAACACTTGCTGCACTGTGTTGTGAAACTATACATTAGATTGAACTTGTGGCTTGATAATAATTGTTGGATTTGTAGTATGAGGTTAAGACCTTTATAAGGGTCAATATAGATCATTTTTGTTCCTCATTTTTTTTTTAGTTCTTTTGGTTAGCTTTACTGGTATGAGGGAGGAGAACTCCTGTAAATGTGCCCTTTGCCTACAAATTTCCCGTACATGTTTAAAAAAATACCTGTTTCAGAGAGAATTTGGCTATAGCAAATAAAAGAAGAGCAAGATCAAGTTCCCCTAATAGGTGACTAAATGAAGAAGAAAATAAGGAAGTTAGGTAAAAGAGTTATTTTAAAGTGAGTGGGTTCAGATTTTCTGTTCTTAAATTTGAGATGAAAATAGGATGTTAAAACAGAAACCTCCTGCGTAGAGCTGCAAACACGGCCTTGCACTCAAACTCCCATGGCAGCTTCAGTGAGAAATGGGTTAAATAGAGTACATTGAGGGAGGAGTAGAAACCTTGGAAGACAATTACAGAGGAGGAAGAGGAGCTGGATTTAGTAGAGGAGACAGAAAGATAACTGATGGAGTGTTGCACACTAGTGTGTTTCCTTTTAAGTCTTTTTTATTGGATTTAATATCAAGAAATCCTTTATCTCGGGTTACAGATTTTTCCTGCTATCACTGATGTTTCTTCATTCTCTACTTTGTATGTGCTTTATCCTTCCCAATTAATTTAGACACATTTCCATTATTAAGGTAACATATAGATAAGGTAGCAATTCCAAATGGATATCCTTATCAGAACAAACCTAGGTATCGTGCAATAAAACCTCCATCATGAAGTGAATGTTAACAAATCATTTTCATAGGAAATGTCATTTTATTATAGACAAATTCATGCTCAGTGATTAGCCCAGGCTTCTGACACCTAAATTAAAAGACATTTTCATGCTATTTTTCATTTGATGTTGAGATACCTTTCATGCTGTTAATTCTCCTCCGGTAGCAATAGTTACAGCCAATGTCTGCTGGCCACAGATGTACTCCCCTACTATCAGACCTCTATTCATTTATTCAGCATATCTTAATTAAGCCTCTATAACATCATTTGCTATGTGCTAAAAACTATTCAAAAATAATATCCAAGAGTCTCTGTCTTCAAGGAGATCACTGTTCAGGGATTATTATTAGTCATTAGAATCAATTTTTTAATTGCTTTTTTTTATTAAAGTCTTTTGGTACCTCTAGAACCTATGTACCAATGTAGAAATAATCATCATTTTCAAATGGAATAAAATCTAACTGATTTATTCAAAGAGGAAAAGAAATGTGTATTGAACAATAAAGGAAACTGAACTCTTACCTTTCAAATTGAATGTTTCAGAAGCGATAGCTGGCTTGAATGGAGTCATCTTTGAAGAATATTGGCCTTCAGTCAGTATGCTTTTCAATGGTTGAGAATAATTGTCAAAAATTATAATTAATGATTATTAAGTGAGTCAATAATATAGACCCTCCTTTTGTCCAGCATAGTGCTAGATAAGAGAGAATTTTTAAAGTAATTATGACATAAATTGAGAACCGGAAGTAACATATGAAATAAGTTGAAATACACTACACGATACTCGATAGTTTACAAAGCATAACCATGAACACTACCTTATTGGATTATATACTATTCTCTCTTTTGAGCTGGCATAAATACAATAGAGCAGACAATCAGGACTGATATAGTGGGACAGATTAAAATATTACAGAGGACAAGGAAAGGAGAAACCAGTGTGGACTGGAGTAGTAGGCAATGTACTATTCTTTATTTACTTAATCATTTTAAAATCCATTTTCCCAGCTAGGTCCTATGGATGCTTCAATACTCATTCTTTAACTCAGTTAAACTTTAACTTTAACTCAGTTTTGAATAAACAATTAAGAGGGGAGAAGACATTATTAAAGGCAGGTGGATAGGAAAAAAAAATTCTGTAAACATTGCCATTGAAAGGAATACAAAAGAGAGGTGAATGTGTGACATTTATTTTAGAGCCTCTTCCTCATTTTTACTAAACCCACTGCCTGGATTCCTTTGTGCACTGAACATGTTGTGGCCAAGTCTAATTTCTCATGGATGTTGTGTTCTGCTCATAACTCCTGCCAGAAATTCGGGGAATTGTTGTTCAGATCAACCTGGACAACAATTATGTGCTCTGTGCACATGTTTAACTAAACCATGATCAGAAATGATACTTCGCTGCAAAATGGCAAAGTTGAATAGGATGAGTGAACATTCCCTTGGTTTCTTTAATCTTCTTTGGGCCAAACAAAATAACTCAATACACATGCATGCATACACAGCTGAAGAGCTTTTAATTGCCTTTTAAGTGTTTTTGTGTTTTTGAAATTTTCCCAAGGCAGCTTGAAGAAACCATTGCATTTTAATGGTAATGGGGATAGGTACTAAAACGCCGAGGTGCCCGCACTCATAACAAGTCTCCCCCAAACCTCCCCTTATCCTTCTCCTGTCTCTACCTTTCTGTGTTACATCGTGGACCTCACGGGTGAAGGTCAGAAGAGATCACCATGGGGAAATCAGAGAAAGATAAAGGGAATCTTACCATTTCTCACCTCTTGTGTGTAAAAACACTTTCTACTTCTTCAGTCAAGGGGGCATATGGATCAGCCTCTGCCCTCGTATTTGAACTTGATCCTGACAAGTGATTGAGACAAGACAGAAAATGGAGTTCGTTTGAGCAGATGCATGTCTTTTTTTTTTTTTAAAGCACATACACAATACCAGTACATTTAAAACTTAAAATTGACATATAAACTGGGCACAATAGTGTCTTATGACACTCTACTTACAAAACACAGAACCAACATAAAATAGCCAGGGAATAAATACAAGATTGTGTGGTAATTAACTGCTAAATTGTGAATTAAAAGCAATAAGTAACCAATAATATTATATTCATTTTCTCTCCTATGTAAATAATACTTTTTAAAAACATTTTTATTGGAATAACTATTCTACTCTCAGATTTATCACTATCTTCCAAAATGAAAACCATCCAAATTTCAACATACAGGATTCAGCTGCAACAGCTGTACCACTAAAAAAAAAATAGCAAATACAAACCTAAGATGAACATACTTGGCTAAACAGCATTTTTCTTCATTATTGGCTTTTTTGGTTGTTATTATTTTGGCTGAATTTGATTTGGACAACTGACATTCAACATCTCAAAATTTCTAACCCCTTCTCAGAGTCTCTGAGTGAAAATAGAAAAAATGAGGTAATTCAAAGTCAGTAAAATAGTAAAAGCCAAGAAATTCTGAAGGGAAAATAAAACCTTTTATAAACCAAGAGAAGGAAAAAGGCAAGTGGGTATAGAGAAACCAACAAGACAAACTTGAAGTAGAAGAAAAAAATAATAAAATGTATCATGTTCTTACAAAAATAAAATAAAATAAAATAATTGGCATAAGGAAATCAAAAGGAAAAGGAGAAATTCTAGAAAAAGATATTCTATGTGGTCAAGAGAGAGTTGCACAGGAGACAGAAGACGTGGGTTTCAGCCTCACCCATTGCTAACTGGTTTTGTGACTTTTGGCAGGATATTGCCTCTTCCTGGGTTTCACTTCCAACTCTGTAAAATCACTTTGCCTCAGAAGTGTCAGATCACTTCTGTTTCTCAAATTCCTTGAGAGGAGACATTTTTGCCTCTCTTTGTTTCTTCTTTTGCTATTGTTTACTACCAAAAACTTAAAACTAATGAACTTGCTACATTAGACTAACTGAAATAGCAAAGTACTAATTTAATACTGCCTGTTTTGACACATGAAAAGATACTCAACATCACTCATCATCAGGGAAATGCGAATCAAATCTACAATGAGGTATCACCTCACACCTGTCAGAATGGCGAAAATAAAAACCATAAGAAGCAGTAAGTGTTGGTGAGGATTTGGAGAAAAAGGAATCCTCATGAACTGTTGGTGGGAATGCAAACTGGTGCAGCTACTATGGAAAACAGTGTGGAGTTTCCTCAAAAAATTAAAAAAGAATTACCCTATGATCCAGTAATTCCACTACTGGTATTTACCCAAAGAATACAAAAATACTAATTCAAAAAGATATAAGTACCCCTATGTTTATTGCAGCATTATTCACAATAGCCAAAGCATGGAAGCGACCCCAGTGTCCCATTGATAGATGAATAGATAAAGAAGTGGTATTTATACACAATGGACTGTTACTCAGCCATAAAAAAAGAAAAATTTGCCATTTGCAGCAACATGGATAGATCTAGAAGGTATAATGCTAAGTAATGTCAGTCAGAGAAAGACAAATACCGTATGATTTCATATATGTGTGGGATTTAAGAAACAAAACACATGAACAAGGAAAAAAGAGACAAATAATAATAATAATAATAATAAAAAGCAGACTCTTAACTATAGTGGACAAACTGGTGGTTACCAGAGGGGAAATGGGTGGGAGGATAGGTGAAATAGTTGAATGGGGATTAAGAGTACACTTATCATGATGAGCACTGAGAAATATATATAATTGTTGAATCACTATATTATATACCTGAAACTAGTATACAACTATGTTAGCTATACTGAAAATTTTAAAAACTCAAAATAAAAAAAATACTGCCTATTTTCAGGATTAAAATAGTTAACAAGTAGGGTGAGTAAATGAGCCCCTGTTTCAACTATTCACAACTTCCCTGAGTGTATATAGGGTACTGATACACTAAGAATCTCTGATTGGCATGGTATCCCAGAAATACTAAATATTTCTTTAATGCTCTGTGTCTAAAATGAAGGCAAGAAAAGAGAAGGAGATTAATTTGTCTGTGATGACCAAAGATCAAATACAGACTGAGGGTTGTGCTTATATAAGGACAAAAGAAATTATCAGGGTATCTCTATGGATTGTAAATGTATTACTTCTACTTTCCTTTTAAGTATTTCATTTAGTTTTACCATTTTGATTATAATTCATGACCAAAATGAGAAAATCCCTACTAGAGTGCCTGTTACATGATAAGTGTTCAATAAATATTAGCTTATTAACTTGAAATTGTGTTTGTATTTCACAGCTTTTATTTTTCAAGTGAAAAGATGATTTAGCAAAGGCACATTCATGCATTAGTAGTAAAGGTAGAAACCATTAAGATAACAAGGGAACAGGATTAGGAAAAGGAAAGAGACATGGATTTATAAATTATTTTTTATTTTTCTTCCAAATTTTTATTTAAATTCTAGTTTATAAATTATTATTAAAAGGAATTTTTGCCATGATTTGTTCTACTTCCCACTCTGTCAATAATTAATGTCTACACACACACACACACACACACTTTAGAAATTCATGTCCACAGCAGGAAGAAATAATTTTAAAAATTAGTGAATTAGAGTTTGATTTATCACAAAAAGAAATCTTTTTTGATACTACAGTCTCTATCAGCATATGTAAAAAAAGTTTGTTTTATGTTTTTGTTTAAAGGGTCATTTTCCACCCGCATTACATTCAGAGCTTCTTTGTGAACAAAAAGCAGGTGTCTGACAAGACCTATCTATAAAAATAATAACAGAATACATGAAGCCCCTTCAATGTATAGAGGTTTCTTCCATCATGAAGGAGGAGTTGGTAGAGTGAGAATCACAACTTGGGAGAAGAGTCTTGCTCTGACTGGAAAAAGAGGATCATGACAGTTTAGGATGATTGAGAAAAATTAAGTGTCCTGATCTTTCTTCATGAATTTTAGTCACAAAAAATGAAGATGTGGAACCACTAAGGCAGGAAAACACGATTCAAAATCATCCCTTAGATTAATAGACAGAATAACAAAAAGGCACTTCTGCCTTTAAAATAGTTCCAAGAAGGATTGAACAGCTAGAGCAATTTAGAGACAGGAGCACTGAGAAGGCATTCAGCTTTATCTCACTGATGCATCTAGTTTAGAGAAAGAGAGGCTATTAAACCCAAAAGTGCTTAAAATATTAATACATCAAACTGCCAGGCAACTATAAACACATCAAGTGCTAATGCTTTGCAGTACTAAAAGCAAATACATGAAAGAAAGATGGAGATCAATATTAAAGAAGAATGAGGGAGCCCGAAGAAGGACTAATCAGTGATTGACACAGTTGAGGATGGTTATGAGAAAAGAGCCACATATTACTCTTCTTGATATTTCTTTAAATATTACTATAAAGTTTACTCATTTGGTTCATAGCTGAGAGTCTTGTATATGGCAGGCACTGTGTTGGGTAATAGGAAAATATTGGATGACTTGAAGTTTCCTATCCAAATGGAGTTCAACTTTTGTTGATTTAAAAAAGAAAACAAACAGAAATGAGTCATTAAAGTACTGAGTTATGGCGGTTGCACACACCCAAGGTTGGTATAAAGCGCAGCGGAAACACAGGCAGGAACCCCCACGCTGTGTGGGAAGGGTGGAGAAGGCATCTCAAGTGAGCGAAATCTGAGATAGTCCTTGAAAGATGAGAAGTTTGCTAGGCAGAGAGGGAAGAGAGGATATTCCAGACAGAATAAACAGTGTGAACAGTCAGGCTTAACTATCCCCCCATGTGATGGAGGAAGGAAAATTACCACTGAGGAAAGACGAAGGACCTATCAAGAGCACTGTGAGGAGACCCCAGCCTGGTGGTAGTGCTACTTCCTCAGCCAGAATTGCAGGCACAGTAAGGATAAGGAAATAAAAGTTATTCCAGAACCAGGTGAGCAGTGCAAAATCCATAAAGTGAAAGCAATCCCTGCACTATATGAAATATTGACTGAACCTAGATCCAGATTGATTTAAAAATGCACGAAACAAGAAATTATTTTATAGCAAACACTAAGGACTAATGAAAATATAGATGCTTAGTCCAGAGAAATAAATGTGGCAATAAACATGGAAAAGGGTCCAAACTAGCAATGTGCCACTTGTTTTCCTTTGCCCCGAATACTATTCAAATAGGTACATTGTGTAGATGTTATCATATTCTTCCCATCCTTCACAACATGTATGTGTACACATGTGTACACACAGAAGGGATAATGCAGATAATGCAGAACTACTTGGGACCCTCTGAAGGACATCAAGGAATCTATTTAGCTGGTAAAACTTACATGACGTCTCTCTGGTTTCTATTTCCAAAGGAAAAACATTGCACCACACTCAGAAACTACATGTGTTTTCTCCATCAGTAAATACATGTCATATGTCAAAATAAACTGGCCAAGAAAGTGTAAATAAATGATTCAGTACAACCCCATTACCAGTACTGGAAAAAACAATATAAAATGCAGAGTACAACTCCTACAGACTGTGAGTCAGGAACACCGTGTTTTCACATAATGGGTGGTACGTGCTGTAATGAGAAACAGAGGGGGGGTGGGGGGGCAGTGCAGAGAAAGCTGCCATGGTACCCTGTGGACTCAGACTCCCCATAACATAGCGAGATGCCCTGCCTTGGGGTCTGTCTCCTCCAAATGGAATTATAATGCTCCTCAAAGGAAAAAAACAGCTTAATATTCACCTTTTTACCTCAATACCCAACACAACTTAGACACCAAACAAATCCATTAGACTGAATCAACTTATACAACCAATAGGAGAGTCAAGAACTGTGATAATAAGGTCACTTATGTAAGCATCACTGTTCACTGTGTCTTAGAAATGATTAAATGGCTCCAAACAAGTGAGACACTGTGGTCGTTCATGGGAAGCCCAGACAAGAAAGAAGAGCAGAGAAGAGAACGAAGAGTAAGTGTTGTCAGTTACAAGGGCGGGAGCTCTGTTGGGGAAAGGGCCTTTGCTTCAGGTGTGGTAGACAAGAAAATACCATTCACTCCACTGACCAAGTTTCTAGGCACATGTTACATCACATTCTGGATATATCTTTGTGAACACTGACTTTATTAGGTCACGGGAGTTGTCATCAGATAACACAGCGCCTGGCACATCATGAATATCACAAAAATTATTGAATAAATATGTTTGAGTTTTTCCTCTCAAACTGGCTATTATTAACCGTAGTCTATCATTAACTGTAGCTGGGAACTGGCCGCACGTCATCCTCGACTGAGCTCGAGCCAGGGCAATAAGAACACTGCCAACATTCTGATAGTGCCAGGCCCTGTTCTGTGTTTTTCATATGCATTAACTCCTTTGGCCCCCATTACTAATCCTATGGATCACTATGGTTATTGTCCTGATTTTGTAGAAGATGAAACTGAGGCATAGAGCAATAGGAGTGAGGGAGATGGTGAGACAAAGGTGAGGGTTCCTCCTGCCCCAGACTCCCACTGAGGAAGAGCTGACTGTTAATTACCTAGTCATGGGGAGAATGGATCCATTATTAGTTAGAGGTCACGTGTCTATGAGGAGATGACCAAGAGTGGAGGGTGTAACAAAGAAAGTGTGCCAGATGCAGGGGCTGGTCATCCTCCTGGGATGCAGTGAGAAAGATCAGAAACAACGCTGGGTTTTTCACGTGTCAGAAAGACCTGATGTCAGAAAGACAGTAGCAATGTAGGAAAGTCACAATTCTATACAGAGAAGTCGGGCTTAACTATCCCCCCGTGTGACGGAGGAAGGAAAATTGCCAATATCTTGTCAAGATGACAGCTCCTCAATTCTGGGGTGCGCTGGAATGCATCGGCAACTCGCAGGGACAGAACTAGACTAAGCAAGGGCTGACTGACACAAGGTAGATCTAACCTATTTCAAATCATGCATTTAATGCCCTTCGGAGTTTGAGAGCTCCTGGTTACTCAGGCTCGGACATTTATGCGGTGAAATTTCTAATGCATCACTGAAATTCAGGTCAACTTTTCAAGTGGCGTATGAGATTGCCCAGTTCAATTCGAACATCTACCCTCTACCATGAACACCTGCTCAAGTCAATGAATTCTCTTTATCTCCTGAAAAAAGCAAAAGTAATTAAGCATTACAGTTTTATTGATCTAATAAGTAACACATCTAATAAATACGTGAAGTTTGTGGCAGGGTCAGGGGACTCCTCCAGCCCGGTAATTAACCAAAATTTAATTTTCTAAGGAGGTGATGCTACAGGGGAAGATGAGGCTTTAACCTTCTAGATTACTTGGAACCCATAAATCTTCGGAAGCTCTAAGCAGTGGTTTCTGTGCATGTGTTTTTTTAATGGAAAGAATATCCTTAGCTTTTGCTTAGTTGAAGCAGTCAGGGATGTAGAAAAGATTAAGTAGTACAGGCATAAAGGAAATAGATTAGAATTAAGAAACTTTCCATAACTTAATCTACTGAGCTTTCCACACTGAACCAAAGGACTACCAAAAATTCTTTTCACCAGAGAAAGGTTAGCTGATCATTAGTACTCATGCTCTTTCCGTAGAAAACAGACATTTGTATTCTAGCAAATGCAAATACAGTATACATATGATGCAGTACACATCATAATAACCAGATGAAAGCCTGGCCTTGTCATCAGATCCTGAAGTTCAAATCCCAGACCCACTTCTTGCTGGCTGTATAAACTAGGAGAAGTTACCTAACATCTCTCTTGCTCAGGGTTCTCATCAGTGAAATGACTGTAAGTAACAATACACCTACCTTCTGCTGTTGAAAGGAATACCTTGAATTACGTTTACAAGGCCCTTATCAAAGCACCTGGCACTTAAGAAATTTAAGCTATGTGGCTATGATTATATAGTTGTGAGGAAATGTTATATTTAAAAAAATAATTTCCCCCAATTTGCAAGGATTTTTTTTTTCAGAGATTCACGATGGCTCAGCTGCCAGTCTTGAAGGACCAGGTCTCCATCTGCATTTACTGTATTGTCCTTTTGATTATTTTGTTAGGTACCAAGAAATCCATCATTTATAAGCTGCTTTTGTTTTCCAATGATGACATTTTGCCAGTTTTTTGACAAGTTTCCTCAAATATGAGTTGTAACTTAATTTTAAGTAAAACTTGAAACTCTTGGCATCTACACTCCCTTAT